GTAAACCACCAGACAGGGAAAAACAAGAAAAAGAAGTTGGGTAGGATAGAGGAGGGAAGGAGAATAGACTAATGGAACAAAGGGGACCAAAATACCATCGACTTTTGCAGCCATGAGCTCAAACTTCTATCCCTTCTTATCCAACATTTAAAGTCAAGATTGCAATGATAAAACATAGCATTCATTCTCACTGCTGGTGCTGACAACTATTATTAAAAAGTAGTTTGGGGGCCCTCCCTGTTGGAACAGTGGATTAAAGCACAGCACTAGAAGCTAAAGCCACTTCAGCATGAGTTTGATCCCCTGCCCTGGAGGTGACCCACATGTCTAGGCAGACCTCTCCTGACCTACCCCCTATCCCCTCAACTGTGTACTTTGTCAATCTGCCTGTCCTGCTCCCTGCTCTGTTTCTGGTGAATCCACCCCTGCACCTCTGGCTTGTACCCCAGTTCAGTATGCATAAATAAATTTTTTTAAAGTAGTTTGGAAAATTTCATAATCACACTTATATAGTATACTGTTAAATATTCAACAAACTGTTACTAGTTAAGCATTAAAATGTGGACATAGGGCCCTTCCTGGCGGTTTAGCAGGTTGAAGAATAGCACTAAGAAGCTAATGCCACTTCAGCATGAGTTCTATCCCTGCCCTGGAGGTGATCCACTCGATGTGGCAGACCTCTCCTGACCTGCCCACTGCTCCCCTCAGCAATGTGCTTCATCTATTCTGTTCTGCTCCCTACTCTGTCTCTGGTGAATCTTCTCACCACCCTTCACCTCTGACCTGTACCCCAGTTCTGTCTGCATAAATAATCTTTTTTAAAAATGTGTACATAAATGCAAGCTAAACCCCAAACACTACACAGATAAAGCAAAATGTCAAGATCAGCATTGCTCAGAACAAACACAAGCTTGTTATTGTTTACATTAATGTCAACAGAAACTCCATGTCTTTATTCAAAAGGTCATGCAATGTCCCCATGTAGCATCTTACTTTCCAAAATCCTACAAATGCAATGTCTAATGTTCATGTCAGTTCATAATTACCTGGCCTTGGAACTACACAGATTCCGTGACTCCTGACTATTTTCCCACAAGCTACAGCAAGCTCCCCAAAAGTCAAACTTAAGATGTCTGTTGGGTCAAATGCTTTTCCCTAGGCTCTTGTCCATGTTTCGCTCTTAAGATACTTGGCACTGCTCCCCTTCACCACAGGTTTGGGGCAAGGGACAAGGTCAGCCACTGTTGATAGCCCCTGAATTACAAAGCACCCACTGCAGTGCACTGCCACTGTCACTGAGCCTCACAGTCCCCTTGATGTCAGCATAACAGCAATCCCACTAATTCTATGCAGGCTTCCATCAGAGGCCAAGGAATATCATCCCTCATGTCTTATCACAGAGTTGTGGTATTTGACAGGAGACAGATATTTGGCACATTTGAGATCAGGTAAATGTAGCAAGTTTTCCTTTGAGCTGATAGAGTCCAAATAACTCTAAAATAAACATTTTCCTCATTTCAACCTAATTCAAAGACACTCCATATGAGATAACTGCCCACATACTGGATGGTATTTCTGAGACTTGGGAGAGTGACTTCTAAGTCAGGTTGGGCAGCTATATGGTCATGGAGGGCTCTTGAGTTGACATGTGGTTGAACTCAGTTTTGAAGGACAAATAGGAATCTACTAAAACCTGGGAGAGAAAGACAACAAAAGTGACTGGGTCCACTAGTTGGGACTCATTTCACCTGCATGTGCAGTGCAGCTCTGGTCCAGATCTGGTGAGAAAAACAAATCACATTACCGGGAAATTTGAATACGATCACCAAGTAGGCCTCTCAGTCATCCACACAGAAGAGCTGCTCAGTCAGGTTCCCCTCCACCCTTCTGAAAGTAGCAGGTAAAGAGAAGAGCACATATGCCATTACTGAGATGGGATCCACTGGATGCTGACACCCCAGGCTAGGTGCTAGTTCTGTTTTATGCAGACTGGTAGCTCGGCCATTTGGTCACTGACCGCTTTGCAGAATGGATACTAGTCAGCTTGGCACATCAGAATGCTGAGTAAAATCTGGCACCAAACAACTAGAGGGAAGCAATGGACACAAGTCCCTCAAATCTATAGCATCCTTAACTGAGGTACGGCCTCCTCCTGGAGGGTCCTATCTCATCATCCACTCCATCTCCCCTGACAAGAAACTCTGACTCATGTCCCAGTGGCTTGTTGTGTTCCCTCTTTCTAGAATTCTCTTTCTCGCCAAGGTTTTAGTGGATTCCTATTTGTCCTTCAACAGTGAGTTCAACCATGTGTCAACTCAAGAACCCTCCATGACCATATAGCTGCCCCAAACTGACTTAAAAGTCACTCTTCCAAGTCCCAGAAATACCATCCAGATCACCTTATCCGGCCTAGTACAAGTCATATTTGTCTGTGAGGAGCCATATCTTGTTCAAATCTTTTTAGCCCAAACCCAGCACTACACTATTCTTACCCAAAAAGGCCCCTAGAAGCCTGTGCCTGGATAACCTCTGGGTGCCTCAGTCTTCTCATCTGTCCACACCTGACAGGGTAATGATGAACAGTAAACTAGAAACTGAATGGGAAGTGCTTAGAGGAACTGTGAGCCCTTGCTAACAAGTGTTTGCTAATAAGTATTAATAAATAAATGTAATCTTCAGTTACTTTCGATTGTCTTCTATGAAATGAAGATAATTTCCTTTCTTTACAGAATAGTAGTAAGGATCATATGAGATAACCTCCTTGATGAAATTCTTTTGAAAACTGTAAAAGACTATTTAAAATCTGGCACTAGGATTATTATTACCAGCGTATGCATTATTATCTAAGGGTTCTTAGCTAGACTTACAGAAGAGTAATTAGTGGCTAAAGGAGGTAGTGGCCAAGGCTTTACCAAACTTTGGATTTCTTCTTTAACTTTCCAATACTGGACATAAAGCTAAAGTACAGGGATATGGGTCACGAAGGAGGGCAAGGGAAAACAGATTCCAAATGTCTTGCAGAATGAGAGCATCTCCTACCTGGAAATAAACACCAATGATTGTAGAATGTGCAACATCCAAGGGAGTAGATGAACAATCATATTACAAGGTGCATGGCATTCAAGTGCCAAGAAGAATTTTGAAAATCATTTATTCCAATTTCCTCATTTTATTGCTGTAGAAAGGTGTCTCTGGAGCTCAAACAACTCAAGCTCATAACAATACAAGTCTCTAATTTGCAGCTAATAGGTTTATCTGTTTTGCTTCTATCATATCCCCGCTGCTACCTTTTAGGGTGGCCCTTAGGGACCACCTTGATTTCACACCCCTATTTTACTGTTTATTAGTTCTATGGTTTTGCGAAACTGATCCAAGTCTCATTTCTCAATAAGGATCAGAGTATCTCTTACTGTATGAGAAAAGAGGTTATATATGTCCGTCAGGTAGCAAAACCTGTGCCCGTTTCCCAGCCCTCATCAAATTCCTACAGTAACTGCTGCAGTCTTCTCTAAAACGAACCAACGCATATAATCCAGATCATGTTTTAAAATATTCCTCTTTACAAAAAAAGCAATCAAAAACTGAAATTCAAGACTTTGGGGGGGGGGTATGGAAATAGTTAAAAAAAAAATTCTCCTCTGGCTTAAACTTGGACCCCAGCGCTCCCACTTTCCTCCTCACAGGCATTTCTCCGTGGCCACAGTCACGTATGTCAGAGTATATAATAAAGCAGTGTGCAGGCAGAGCTGCGTGCAGGCTTGTGTTTGCTTTCTCACCTCTGTACCTCTCCCCTCAGGTATCAGTAGGCTGCCAAGGGCAGCTACTGCTTTCTCCTTCCTTCTTTCTGCCTAAGTCTTGCCTTAAGAATGTCCTGCCTGCGGACAGCTCCCTTTATCACAAGATCGAGGCTGCTCTGAGACCTGCGTTCTATCGTGGTCAAGAGACCACTGTCCTCTTGCCCACATACCTGGCTGTCTACACACCCCCCCACCACCACCACCAACCGCCAGCAGTCACCTTGTCTTCCACAATCCCCTCAGTGATTCACCTGACCACCAACCCCTTGCTCTCTTGGATCTGGGTTTATAAAAGTTGCAGGGCTGCACGGAGCTTTACAGGAGCTTTACAGCAGGGTCCAGCAGCCTCACCCACTGATGCCCTAGCCCTCCCCACAGCAAATACAGGATGGAGACCCAGGGCTCCACCCTAAAGCCAACAAAACGTGGCTGTCTGTCTTCTGGCAAGCAGCTTGGTCCCAGGGCGCAGCCTCGGAGGTTTGCTTCTCTGGCAAGGGACTGCATGCGCCTCAGGAGGATACCTGGGCTGGCACAACCTGGAGCACACAGAGAAGTCAGGGTCCACGGGGCAGGCAGGCGTGGTGAGACAGTCAAGGTTGGCCCCACCTCGTCCAAACCCTAGGAAACCTCCTCTCCCCCAGACACCTTCTTGCCCTGGGGAGACAACCAGGAGCCACCTTTTCAGCCTCCGACGCTAGAGCAGAAGCCAGGCACCTAAAAGCCAGGCACCTGGAAGCCACTCCCGGGCTTCCCTTGCCATCTGCAGTTAAGCTCATTGTCTCCTCCAGAGTAGGCAGCGACCAGCACCCTGCACCCTCACTCCAGGTCTAGGAAAGAGGAGACCTGCGACTTGAAAAGGGGAGAAGCTAGCACTCTTGCGGGATCTTCCCAAATCCTCCTGGGGAACAAGGGCCAGGAGACCCATCCACGCACCCACGGGAGCTTAGGGGGCGGGTTATGCGCATTAGCACCCCTCGGTTCCCAAGAGTACACGGAACCGCGCGTCCTCCCTCATTCCCACCGCCCGACAAGCCCAGGGCCAGCGTGGGCGACGAGGGGGTGTGCGCACCGCGTTTTCCGCATCGCCCCCACCCCCAGTCCCAGCGGTCCCCCGCTCGGGGGCGGCCGTTTGGGGTGCGGGGTGTGCACCCGGGTCGAGGCTCCGCGCTCGGGGCCTCAGCCCCCTCCCGCCCGCCGGCTTACCAGATGGCCATCCTGCTCTTCGGGTAGTCCAGCCGCTCCAGGCAGCCGAGGAAGTGCGGCAGCGTGTGCGCGGCGTTGCGGGCCAGCAGGGCCACTAGCACCGTGGGTCTCTGCAGGGGCGACTCGGGGAAAACCACCGCCTCCTCTTCGTCGTCCTCCGAGTCTGGCTCGGCGGCGAAGCGTGAGGGACAGCCGCGGCGGAGCAGCGCGGACAGGAGCAGCAGCCACCAGGCGAGGGTGGCGGCGGGGCGCGCGGCCATGTTCAGGGCCGTGGCGGGCGGCGGA